TCGTTAGACCATTGACCTCGCATCCCTACAAAGCCGGGACGGAGCACGCCGGGTTCTCACCGGACCAGGCTCTCACATCACCAAGCGCGAAGCGCCGTGAGATAATCGGCGAGTCGCATGAAGGGTGCGCTGCATCCTGCTAAGGGTGTTCGGCATCTTGTGCTTACTTCCTTGCGTACGGATGACAGCTTCGTATGACTTAATTTACTTTCTGGTGCTTTTACTTCCAGAGACAGTTGTAAGCACTGTGTAACTGCCTCGAGGGTGCTTGACCATTTTAACACAACGTGGTGCGATCATCCCCCTTGCGCGGAGTGAGTGTGTGTGAGGGGGGGGGATTCCGCGAGAGCGAAAGGACACCTCCACCTTTGCTGTAACCGCGATCAAGCGCAGACTACTATATGTCTCGAATACAAAGCAATTGAAATCGTACTGGTGGCCTCTTTTTTTCCCGCGGATCCAAGACAACGGGCTTAAAAAAACGTGGCCAAGACGAAAGGCTGCATTGTTCGGCGGTGAATATCAGATCCCATAGGGCGAGCCTCAAAGCTCGATAACCCACTCGACAGGGTTGAAATATCCGGCGTCGGAAAAGGAAAGCACTCGAAAAGATATCATCGGGAGCTTTCCGAGTGGGTGTCGTTCGGCACTGGCACCCTCTCGGTAGCGGAGCAATCGAATAATTACGATCACCCGAAACGGGGTCTTGGGGACATACAACAATCGTCAATTGAGGAACACGAACAAGACCATGCCACCACATATATACCCCCATATTGCTAGTTCTCCACCCTATTTATACTGTGGTCGATGGTCTATTAACTAAGGCATGAAAAACATGAACACGCCTCCCCCCCTCCACCCTACGGCACCCCCGCTGCACCTTCTTGTGGTCCGCCTCGACCGCCCGCTTGACGCTCGCCGGAAGACGCTCCCCGAAGAAGGTGATGTCCGGCTTCACTACCCCTTGGCAAGAGGGGCAGCGCGGGACCCGCTTCTGCATCACTTCCTCCTGGCAGTGGTGGTGTGAGTGCCCCGTCACATAACATCACACAAAACATTATATGGTGTATGGTTGTGGCATGGGTTCTGTGTGATTACGATGGCACTGCAGGGGATGGGAAGGCAACGAGAGGTATCGATGTGGTGAGGAACGGCAACGATTGTAGGAGGAACGGGTAGAGGGGTGCTTGTTGTTGGTACATCTTGCTTTCTGCGAGATGGGGAGATTCTCATTCATAATTTTCTCCCGCGCAGAAAGCGACCTGGCGTTCATAGCGCGGTCGTTGACGAGATGACGATTGCGAGAATAGGGAAATCAGCAAGCGGCCGCCGCCGCCGCCGCCGTAGCAGCAGAAGCAGCAGCAAATACACCGCGGTTCTCCCGAAACTGATATCAAAAGATATTTCGCATTTTTCTCACTCGAATGTCCTCCGCTGTCCTTTTTCTCTTGCACTTCAGGCAGGATGCTGTCAAGAACGAGCCGTGGCAGGCCACGTACTTCTTCAGCCCCACCTGTGCCTCTGCCACCGAGGACACCAACAAAATGCAGTATCAATCACAAAAAAAAGGCAAAAAACACACGCACACATACACATGAGGTCAGGAAAAACCCCACGAACGTGCTCTGTGGTGCGGACTGTCCGACTGCAGTATTGACGATGTACTACTACATCGTGGTCGCGTGAGCCATCGGGACACGCAAGCCCATCTACAATCGGCTGCAGTCCACACATACACAAACGTTCGCATCCACTACCACCCGAATTGTCTTCACTCTCTGTACCAGCATATGTTGCTCACACTAACGGAATCGTGGTTTCAAGCCAACAGAAAAACTCGGCGCGTGTGGCTTCTGGGACCCGTACCTTTTGCCTGCTGGACAACTGGTCTGAGAAGCTCAAGGCTGACCAATGAGCAACGTTCGAGTGCGCGAGCACAGCTACGGCAGTTTCGCGTAAACCCACCAGGAGAGACCAGGCAGGAATAATCTCCGCTTGGTTTTCCTCACCGAGACCGTCGATGTTTTGCGTGAAATTTCTGAGAAGCTTCCCTCGGTTCTCCAGCGCCTTGATAAAGCGGTGGGTGAGGGATGGGACGTAGTTGCCGGGATAAAGCACCTGGCCGAACATGTACAACGCCAAAGAGCAACGAACAAAGGGGTTGGGTACTAAAATCAGCAAGATCCAGAGAAAGCTGCACCTCTTGGTCCCAGTTCCTAGGTTGGTCAAAATATACAGGGCACCTACTTTCCCGGGCGAGGAAACTCGCGATCACGCTAAACAGTGACCCCAGCTGTACTGGCACTAGCTCCCCCTAGATAAATTCTTCGGCTACACCGAAAGAAACACAAGCTGGGACGGGGGGGCCAGGGGGGATCCCTGAGGGAGGAGTGTTGCGGGGGTTCGCTTCGAATCTGCCGCAAGCTGCAAGCTACACCAGAACAGCAAGAATAAGAGTTGGCTCTTCGAACAGGAGAGTAGCACGAAGAGGCATAGCGATATAAACACGGCATGAAGCCGAACACTATCTGGAGCACTTGCTACCGGTCAGCGCTGACAGGTAGTCCAGCAGTCATTGTGCTTCTCAAACAAAGACAATGCCCGAGTCCACCAAGCTGTACTTCAAGCCACGAAAACGTCCCCCCAGGGTTGCCATCCCTGAAATCAACGCTGTGCTGCCAGATCGGTACAAGCAGGTCATCGCCTTGCGCTCAACAAATCAGACCGAGTCCAGCGCATGCCTTGGCAAACTTGAAGAACGGCTCGGGGTCATCGATAAAGAATTCTAGGTCGAACAGGTCTTCGGCGCTGCTCAGCCCGAGGTCTAGCCGGGAGACCAGGTCGTACACGCCGTGTTCCGAACGAAAGTCAGGGATGCCGCACGACACGCTGATGGCGATGTGGGCACAAGAAGACGAGGCGGGGTAGGAGTGGAAGAGTTAGAGTGGTGAGGGACACAAAGAGTTGCACACTGGCATACCAGGAGCGAGACATCGCAGACCAGTGAGAGGGGGGCAGAAATCAGAGATTGTGTCTTTTCACGGAAGGGCAAATGACGACCGACCACGGAGTAGACGAGGGCACTGGTGCATATGTAGCCTGAACATGGCAGCGTCCCCCCTTGTGGGATACAGGCTGATCATGACAGGTTTTCATCCCTCATGAGTTGCACAGACGACTCCATTTGTGGTCTCACTCAACCACAATCAATCGCAAACAAAGTTTGACAGCAGTACTTTGGACCAAGCAGCGGAAGAAGCAGGGTTGTCAATTGCCAGTCGCCTTCACACAACTATGATGACAACATCAACCTTCATTGCGAGAAACGTGACGTATTTCGCCGCACCTTGTCGGCTTGACTGCGTAGCTGCATCAGGGACCACTCAATGTGGGGTCCTCAGATTTCGGACACAACCATATGATCCGTCCACAAACACGTACGCACCGCCCTCAGTACACAAGTGAGCAGCTGTGCATGATGTAGATGACGCAAGATATCGGACCTGCTTGGATAGATTTTCAAACCTCGAATACTCCGTGACGAAGAAGATGTATACATCTGAACATATGTTTTCGGAAAGCTCTGCATGAGACGGTTCCAACGCCACTATTCAGTTTCAGCACAATCTCTCTGTTAGGCCTGTCCTCCATCGGCCGTTTTATTTTTGATTTAGATACACAAACTTTATTTCTATACTAATTTCAAGTAATTCCACCTTCTTATTCTCCGTCATACAAGCAAAACGGCCGATGGAGGACAGGCCTACTCTCTGTGGAGCAGTTCATCTTTGCCGAATAGGCCCAGGGGGTGTGCTATCTTTCGTCATCTACGACCGATCTCGCGTTGCTGCTTTTCTAGAGAAGAAGTGTTCCAATTTCTATTTCTCCAACATGAGTCATGTTTACTCCACACGAA